ACAATCATTACATAAAACCATTATATAATAATTATTAAAGCATTAAAAACTATAAAAACAGAACTAAAACAGAAAAGGAAAATAATAGGCAAAGGGATATCAATAATAGAGCCCCCTCCCTAACTCCCCTGTCTGCTGGATCTCCAGGCCTGCAGACACAACCGGGTCTTTGAACACTCAGGAGTGATGAGGCCGATCTCAACTCCGGGGGGAGAAGGTGCCACAATGTGGGCGCCACAGCAGAAAAGGCCCACCACCTGGGGCCCGCCAAACGTAGCTCCCTAGACGGTGGAACCTGTAAAAATACCCACTCTGCTAGATCTAGTGGGATGGGCAGATTAAAGATTGTTGTTCTTCAGAAAGAAGGTTCTTTTCTAAAGCTTTGGCTTTCCAGGGCCTCTGCCTGGTTGTTGGATCAACAGAGTTAATTGCCAATAGAATGAAAAATGCGTAGAAACTGCTGTGAGATCTAAGCCATAGAATCTAACAGATCAGAGACATCTATCAGCAAGATTCCACCTTTCGTATCTGAGCCACCATTCAGAATTCAGAGATTTGCTCAAGCTCTGCTGTGTTTTGGGAGTTCCCTCGGAAGAACCAGCTATCCTTGCATATATCCAAACTCTAAAGCAGACATGGCACCCTGAGGCCTGAACAACTTCCATGGTGTGCAGCTGTGAAAAGGGGCAGAAAAGGCTGGAAGAATCAGAATACGGATCCTTTTTGGAAGACCCTACCAAAAACTGGTTGAGACTGCATGCTTTTCCAAGAGGGGCATGAGAGCACTGCAGTAACCGCGATAGGAAACTTAATCCCAAGACTTGCTCTCCCCTTTTTCTTATACATTATAATGTCAACCAATACTTGGCAAAAAGAAGAGGAAATGCACGGCCCCCAGAAGGGTGCAGGGATGTATAACTTGAGCAGTTCCAGAGAAAGGCAGTTAGGAAGGCTGAGGAGTATTTATATGGAAATGCAATGGGGAGGGAAACCTGTGATCAGCCCCGTTTTTCTTATTTTTGCTCATTTAACCAGGTCAGTTATAGATTTAGTAAGTACCTTTGTACAACATACAACACTTATGAAATGGCTGTTATATCTGATCAGTTTACATAAATCTTAGAAAAGCTGACATAAAACTCTCAAGTTGGGATTGCTTTGGCATTAAACAAGTCTCTGATATCCTATCCCACATACAACTGATTTTGCCTTTACTTTATCGGGAGAGGAAGAGTGGGGCCAACAGCGCGGTGGCCATGTTTTCTGGGGTAAGGAAGGGTTACAACCAGTTGGAGCTGTAGAAGATTCCCTAATCTGAATGTTGCAGATACATTGGCACTGAACTCCCAGATACGCTGGCAAAAGATTACAGTAAAAAATTAATGGGGATGGGGATTCTGGGAATTACGGTCCCAGCATATTGAAGCAACAGATTGGAGAAGACTGGTTGGATTAGTACAAGTTCCCACATTGTATTTTGAACTTTGATCTAAAAGTACAGAGTCAAAGCGTGCTGAATTTGTGTAGACACATCCATTCAGTTAACGCAAGGCAGACATAGATCTCCAGCATTGACTGCAGGTTCGATACCCAGCGCAAAGAATGAAGGCATCATGATCCATTAATTGATTTGGCTTGATTAGACAATTAAAACGTAAGCAATTAATTGATGTACAAAGTGCAAGGTAATTCATGAGGTAACCAGCAAAAGGTTAGCATTTGTCTAGGAGGCAACTTAAATATTTTCCACGCTAATCTACGCTAAGAACCAAAGCAAAACTGGCTTAATTAAACTGAGAATATTGAACAGAGAGCTCTGCCAATTAAAAGCTGTGCTCAGATACCAGCATTAGGACTTGCTGCTTACATCTCTGAATCCATCTTTCTTAAGCGGGTGCCCTCCAGAGAGGGTTAACTTTGTCCTCTAACACACATCAGGATAAAAAAAGACAATTTCACTATGTGGAAGTAAACCCCACTATCGTGAGTGGGCTTTGCTCCCCAAAGAAAGAACTGTAGCCAAGAAAATGTGGTTAAAGCTTGCAGCCCTTTTCAATCTGCAAAGTCCATGCTGAAGGGGAGAGTTGTCTGAACCCAGGAATTATCCCAGTCAAAGAGAATATTTGTAGCTCAGGGTTGAACTATGGGGTTCTTGGTGCTCTCTGAGCTTGGTGGTTTGATTGCAGACATTTCATGACCAGACTAGGTAACTTCATCAGTGCCAGTTGCAAGCAAACAACCAAGTTCAGAGAACACCAAGAACTCCACAGGAAATTATTTTCTAGACTTCAGTAGGTGACAGTGAGGTACCAGCCTTAGATTACTCCATCTTGCTCTGCCAAGGATCTTCCCCTCTTTCTCAGAAAGAACAATTTGAAAAGCAACATGCGTGCACACAGGGAGGTACAGGAAGGGAATGTCCTGGTTGAAACAGGTGGTTTCTCTAAAATAGCAGAGGAATGTTACATAGGGAGGCATATTTTGTACTAAAGTTTGAAGCTTATTGACATATGAATGATTTGTAACTTCTGCAATCTTGTGATTATTGCTGAAACTGTATGCAAAATCATACATAAGCACCCCTGTTCCATTGAGTGCTTGTGCTTGCTTTTGGGAGATATCCCACTTGCACCTTTCTTCTGCGCAGAATAAACTTCTGCAGTCTCTACTCTCAGTGTGTGTAGATTGGCTATTGGCACGCCGGGCAGGCTCCTAGCAGACTTTAACTGGGCTCAGAAACTAAGATGGGAGACCGCTAGGAAATTCCACATCTGGAAGTTGGACTAGGAAGGTCTAAAAAAATCCCAGAAGAAGGCAGTGGCCAACCACTCCCATATTATATCATGGAAACCACATGGTCGTGTCCGTGTAGTTTCCAAGACCTGCGTTTGCCCCAAAGGGGCTTCTTGTTTACCACGTTATTTGCGGAGAGACTTTTCTGCAAAGGAATCCATGCATTTAAACCATACATTTCCTCTTTTAATCCAACATGATGGGCAATGGGAGGACAGAGAACTAGATTTGTTAGAAAAGACTGCAGTGGACCCACCTTCCATATTTTTTTTCCTCCTTGAGAACATCTGCCTCCAGCAACTCCCCAAGGCTTCCTGAATGTGTAGGGTTCATACCTGTATCTGAAATAGTTATTGAACTTCCGACAAAGCCTGTGACAAAGTTCTCGCTTCCAGCAGGCCAAAGGTCCAGTCAAGACCAGCATGGGGTAGGGAGCATCAAGACTGGGCAGGGTGCTGTCAGAAGACAAGAAAAAACTTAATCAAGTCCCTCACATGGGCAACAAGGACATAAGGCAAAACCTGTGTGTAAGTTTCTCATTGTTGCCATATAAATACTCCCCCCCCCCATCTCTGCTCCCAGCTGAGTCTCAGGGTTGGTAGTATAGAGAAAACAAAATCAATCAATCAAATTAAAAACATTTTTAAAAGAACTGTATTTTGAAGTTTTGAAACATCTGTCTTCATCAGATCAGATTTCAAAATGGTGCACAACATTCACTGGATGGATGAAGTCAACTCCCAAAATTACCAGCAATGGATGTGCTAGTAGGGAATTCTGGGAGTGATATAGTTCCACACACCCATCTAGAACTCACCCAAGGTGGGAAACGCTGATGCAGCTAATAAACAGCAGCCCAGAAACATTACTATATAGGTTATGATGCTGTTAGAAGTTTAAATGTCCAGAGAATTGAAAACCTCTGACTCGGTATCACATATCTCTTAAGAGAGACTTTTCAAAAGTTAGGGAGCCGTCTCTGAAGCAGTCTTCTCCTTCAAAACTATCAAATACAGTCCCAGTTCAGAAGAATGAGGTTGTAGCGGATGAAATGTGGGCAGGTTTGTAAAGAAAGAGTAACTTCTTCAGATGAAAGGAGGAACATTTGCCCAACTACCGAGTTGGGCCAGTCTGTGTTCAAGGCCTTTATTTGGCTTGGTTTGGGATTCTGTCCTCTTACAGAAAAGTCCAGTGCTGAGAAATTGCACCATTCGTGATGCATGCAACCATGAGCAACATTTGGAAACAGATGGATCCATGCTGCAGAGGTCTGCTGGATCACATTCACAGCACCTGACCGTCATGTTAACATACTCTGGATTGAATATAGGTGATGGGTTGATGGGATTTTACTTAATTTAACCATGGACATATTTCAAAATTGAGAGTTGATTAAGAAAAGAAAGCACAAGACTTTGAACCATCAGATCCTTCAAAAGTACTAAGGGGTTATTTAAGAATGAAATATTGATGCACAGTCTGGGAGGGGGCTGGCCATTTTCCTACTCTGAAGGAAGAGAGTTAAAGACAGCTTGAGGACCCAGCAGCTGGAAGTCCTCATCACTCTCAGGGGAGCTTTTAATTATCAATGGGCCCTGCTAAGTGTTCTTTGCATCCCTCATTTAGGGTGTGAGTGGCCATCTGCTCTGACAGATTGTTTCAGGGGAATGGAGCGGTGGGCAATCTGTCTTGAGCTGCGAGACTTTATGTGATAATCTGCTCAGCTAAGCAAGATTTGCTAAATTCCCCTCTGTAGTGCCAGGGTGTTTCTGTGACACAACCGACTTTGGGCAGAGAAGGAGAGGAGAGGAAAGGTTGAAGAGGGTCACCATGTTCACAGAAGAGGAGAAGGACAAGATCACCTATTGAAGATGTGTTGGGGTTGCATCATGCTGTACATGATGTGAGTCATGTGATCCTGTGCAGCCACCACTTCCGGAGGGGGGTTGTACTTGTTCACAGCTGCGACCTGCTCTCAGTAAGGAAAGGGGGGAAAAGATGGGTTAATGACACAAATGCTTTCATCTGAACAAGGGTGGCTAAAGAGGTCCCACCCTGAAATCTATTGCAAGATTGCTTGCTAGAGTCAGTTTGGACAACACTGGTGTAGAGGTTTCAGGCATGGGGACAGGAACCGGGAGACCATGAGTGGCAGCCCTGCCTTGGGCACAAAGCCAGCTGGCAGAGGAGGCCGGGGCAAAGCACTCCCAAAAATGCTGCCAAGAAAACCACTCATGTAGTCAACCAGGAATCAGGGTTGACTCAAAGGAACACAAATGCAGAGAATACGAAGTAGGAGATCTTTCCCTGCAGCGGACATCTCCTGATCAGCGCTGTAGCATAATGCAGGCTTAGGTATTTCTGGTCTCAATAGATTATATGCAAGTCCTTCCACGGGCTAAATTTTAAGTCAAAAAGGACAAGTTGGCTTGTGCTTCAGAGCTAACACACCTGCTTTGGATTTGTGAATCAAGATGTAAACCAGACCACAGTGACCTGAGATCTGAACTTTTTTTTTTTCCAAAATATGTGGTGAAGTCTGCAACTCTAAGCAGCTGTACAGAATATTTAGGGGAGAAATGAATCAAAACTTATCTGGGAAAATGGCTCACGCTAGGAAAACCATCTATAAAAATGCACGGAGTTGAAAAACGCCTACGTGCAAATCTTGTGATCAGGATCTGATGCAGAAATGAGACAGGACAAATTTAAGATGCAGAAACAGAGAGAGAGAGAGGAAACTGAACCCAACAGTAACAGATATGCCCATCCTTATTTCTATTCCAGGAACAGCAGAAGGAGTCACAGAAGTTGAGGCAGGAATTGTTCATTCTTATTATCCAGAGACTGCCACCAGAGTGAGGCAAAGAAGTCCACAGGTGTGGTCCAAAAAGTCAAGATGGCATGATCAAAGCTCTGCCTCATTGTTATGTGCATCAGACATGAAAAATGGGTGGAGCTTCAATTGCACCATCATGGCTGCCACCTGATCTTGATTCTTATTGACCCCACCCCTGAGTGGGCCAGAAATGAGGAGCCCATGCCTAGCATCCAAAAGGCCTCTCTGGTCCCAGATTTTCCCTGCAGCCAGGCAATTTTTTCCTGAGAAGACCGCAAGCGTCAACCACCACATTCCCACCAGAGGTTATTCCAAGCACACCAACAGTATGTCTGGCATACTGTAGTCTCACCTGGTTGTAGGTAATGTTATACTTCCCAGTTGGGGGATGTTTACCTTTTCTTGCACTGAGATCTTCTTGTGATCCAGTTCTGTCAGACGCAGCAGCATGAAAATCACCAGGAGCCAATAGTCTGCATGTTGCTGATAAAGGGGTGATGAGTCGGTTTCCGCTTTGTTTGATGCAAAGGATTTCAGTTCAGCCATTCAGGCTAATAGATGAAGAGCTATTTTATCACATTATTCTACCATAGTTTGATGCAGGAGATAGGGGAGCAAGAGGTACCCAGAGGAAATAAGGGTGCATTCCCTGCAAATCCAGAGTTGGGTCATCCTCTTCATCACTGCCCTTTCCAAGTAGGAAAAGGAAGTGAGCCAGACCAAGGGCAATATGGCAGCCACAAACTTTCCAAAGAGTTGAATGCATCCCAAGGCACTCCCCTTGAATGCCCCATTCTTGCCTTTAAACTCCCCATGGTCTTAAAAGCATGCGAAGTTGCCTGGCTCACCCCTTGTGATATGTTACAGTATGGATTGTTTCGTTTTGGCTTGGCACGGTGTCTTAGGATTGTGGTTTATAGACCACGGCTTATGACTAAGTACAACAAACCAGACCCATTGTTTGTGGCTATCAAGGGTATAGAAATCCTTGGCATGGTGCGCTGGGTGAACCCAGACTAAGACCACCTTTGCTCTCTCTAGTATGGTGTTTCTCAACCTTGCCAACTTTAAGATGAGTGGACTTCAACTCCCAGAATTCCCCAGCCAGGAATTCTGGG